CCTGGGGCACCAGCACTTTAGCTGGTGACTGTGTTTCTTTTCCCTTGTTACATGACTGTCACTCTGATCAAGCACTTCTTTCGTGGAACATATACTCATTTCTGGAAAAATCTTGGTTCCTTCAGGCTCACACTTGACCTTTTCCTAACATTAAAAACTCGTTTACCTGGGGCTTTCCCTGGTGGCGCAGTGGTTGAGAGTCCGCCTGCCGATGCAGGGGACACGGGTTCGTGCCCCAGTCCAGGAAGATCCCATGTGCCGCGGAGCGGCTGGGCCCGTGAGCCATGGCCGCTGGGCCTGCGCATCCGGAGCCTGTGCTCCGCAACGGGAGAGGCCACAGCAGTGAGAGGCCCGCGTACCGCAAAAAAAAAAAAAACTCGTTTATCTACCATGTCTAGCTAAAATTCCCAGGGAAGGTGTTCCAACATGACGTAACACTCCCCCCTGTGGTACTAGAAACCCAAATCACTGGGCAAATCAATATATGTGAAAGCCATAGTAATTGGGACAAATTAGCAAAGCTGAATTTTTCTCTATGCTAAATTATATATTTTACATATTATTAATCTGGTATTTACATAAAGGCTGCATTTAACTCAATTCTCTGGCAAACAGCATTACTGGAATTGCAAGTATGAGATTTAAAGTATATAAGCAACTTAACTATACCCTTTTAATAGAGTGTATGTCCAAACACAATCCATACTAAACTGATAGATTTCTTAATATTGAATTAAGTCGTTATAGTAGACAGCTATCATCAACTGTTATTGAAGCAATCCTTGTTCTGATTGTCATCAGACAATCACCATATTAGCATTAGATGAGTGTCATAAATCAATGTGAATCTTAAAAGACCCAAAAAAATCAAAGCCAAACATAGGCTGAAACAAAATTCTTATACAGTAAGACTCAGGAACACAATGTAGAGAAAAAAAAAATCCACGTCTTGGTCTTTTGGCTTCAATACTTCCCCCAAAACATTTATTCTAGTTTTTAAAAACCGTAAGCCTCTGAAAAGCCAGTCTCAAAATATTACATACATAACCTAAGTTTTAAACCAATGACTCTCAATCATAGCTGCACATGAGAATCACTTCGAGAGCATTAAAAAAAAAAAAAACCAATGACCAGGACCCACTTCCAGAGATTCTGATTTCATTGCTCTGACACAAGGCCCTTGAATTGATCTTTTTAACAGCTCCCCTGGTGATTCTAATATGCAGCCAGGTGGAGAACCACTACTTTAATACAGCCTTTTGGGACAATAATTGCTCTGAGGTTGATAAACATGCTTTTTGCCTTTTAATGAGATTTTATTAAAACTACTCAATTTATTCCATAGCTAATGAGCAACTGTTACATTGCAGGCACTGTGTTAAGAGAAAGATGTGTAAGATATATTCCCTGCCCTCAAGAAGCTCCCTGTTAGCTAGGTAGAGAGACCCATAAATAAGTAACTGTAATTAAATATGATAAGTGCTCTTGAGGTGTAAGCAAATACAGCATGCCTCACAAACTTGCATGTCATCCTTGAGCGGGGGTCATGCTGCATCATTCCAATTTTAGTTTATGTCCTACCAAAGCAGGAAAGTCAGAAGTTACAGGTTACTAAATACTGAGGCAAATATTCAGCCTACACAAGGCGAAAGTGTGCATTTTGCTACTCTCTTTCACAGAAACTGCTGTACCATGAAGGTAGGCATTTCTGTTTTAATTTGGATGAATCATTCTAAAATTTCCTTCATGTAATATTACTGATTATGCACTTGCCTATAAAACCATCAATTTGCAAAAGATACAGTAAATGCTTAGGACCATAAAAATTAGCTGATTACCTCTATTTGCATAATACCTTTCCTTTCCAGTAATTGCTACATTTGCTAAGACAAGAAGTTTCAGGACAATGACGGCATTGGAGATTTGTCTCAGTCTCTTGAAAGATGTTACATGGGAAAATGTCATGGAAACAATAGGCATTCAAGGACCATTTGTAAGACTTTCAAAAATAAAAAGCACAGGGGAAAAGAGTTTAAATTTTTTTAAAAAAGATATGGCATCCTCCCAATATTCATAATGGATCAGGCACCCGATTCCCTGTAAGTTAATGGATGAGTGAGTAGATAAGTAGTGAGGCAGGTGAGTGTGTGGTCAACTGATGGTAAAAAGGTGAAATCCACTTTAAAGCACTTCAGTGAAAATTTAAACCTGTTAAGCCCTAGGGGTCAAAAACAACTTGTGATACTAATTTGTTATAAAAGAAAAATCACAATTCCAGAGAACCTGGATAGAAATCAACCAGGTTTTCAGTACAAGTGAGGGCTTTCTGTTTAAATCCAGAGTTGAACAAATTCTGAGTTAAAATGCATGCTGTCAGAGACGCTGTAAGAAAATCTCAAGTGAATTTCAATTTCCAGATCAATATATGCTGAGACAATTTACCGGAGAAAACCTTCAACCTTTACACAGGGTGAGGAACACTATCATTACATTCTCTGCCACAAAGGCTACCTTTAATTCATTATTTCACGGAATGACATATTATAAGCGGCACTGGCCAAGTCAGATTTTGTAGGATATGAATGAGAGTTCACGTTCACAGTAGTTAAGATAGCCATAGAGGAACTATCACCTCAAAATTAGCTTGCTCCCCATCCTTATGCAGCTCTGAAGCAACAGAGGAGATGAATCTAGTCCTACCAGAGGCGTTTCCTGAAAATATTCTATCAATTATAAGTCAGCAGAATACTGACTGAGCTAATGTGACGCTGACCACTTCTTTTCAATATCCAAAGAGTCACATCATCACTCTTTCAGACCTCAAGGAATCAGAACTAGTTACTAACATTGATTCAACGATGCCTATTTTCCGTTATCACAACAGAATTAACATTTTAATCTCACATTTTCCGATTATGACTCTGCTGGCTCATTTAAATCAAATATAACTAAGACACAACAAACATCGTTCCCCCCATGCACACACACACACACACATAATTATTTGGGGGCTTTGGGGAAACATCTAATTTACCTTCACTGGGTGCCAAGAATGAAGAAACCAAGGAGATTTTTTTGACATATTTGTCTCTCTAGAACTGTGCTATTCACATATGGCTATTGAGCACTTGAAATGTGGCTAATCCAAATGAGGAACTGAATTTTTCATTTTATTTAATTTTAATTTAGAAAGAGATACTTGATTCAGTTACTAGAAAACTTTTAGGTATGTTTGGAACAACTTGGGTATGTGACTCTACTTTTGCAAATGCAAATTTTATGAAACTTAAATACAGAACAAGTATTTACGATGACAATTTAGCTTAGTGTCAGAATTGAGATGTGTGGTTAGTGTAAAATACACATTGGATTTTGAAGAGTAAGTATGAAAGAAAGGATGTAAAATAGCTCACTAATGATTTCTATACTGACTACATGTTGAAGTGATAATAGTCTGGATCTATTGGGTAAAAGAAAATATTTTATTAAAATTAATTGCACCCACTTGCTTTTAATCTTTTTAATGTGGCTATTAGAATTTTTACATATATAAAATTACATATGCGGCTCACATTATATATTTTTTGGACCACTCTGCTTTAGAGCACTTCCACAACCACTTTACCAGAGCGCATTTGGATATCCTTCTTCCAGTAGACAGGCTGGTCATGTAACAATAGGGGCAAGGAGTAACACCTCCTTGTATCAACTGGGTCTGAGGAAAGTGTGTAGCAAGCTCTACCCACAATTTCACCATGTGAGGAGACACTGTAATACCCCAGCATGAAAGGAAAATAATAAGTTATCAGCACTTAAACAAACTGAAATCCAGTACTGCAGACAACTTAAAAGAGATAGAGCCAACTGCTCTAAGGTCTTGCTATCATTTCCCAACTGCGGACCTTAAAATAGACGATAAAGCACCGCTTCCAAAAAGAGACAAAATATTTCAATGGTAGCTATCTAGTAATCCTTAATAACTAAGCAAAAATTTCTCTTAAATCTTATCTCCTCAACTTCTAAAGCCACAGAATACACGCTGAACTAGGAAATCAACTTCAGATCGCCAGCATTTCCCTCACAAGCAAATTAGCAGGATTGTGCACTTGGAATACTGTTTGACAAGAATGAAAAGGAAACTATTCAAAACAGATTTAAGGAATGGACAATTAGATGAGGAACTGCAGATTTAATTCTCAATCAGCACTGTGATTAATCTGATTCCCTGCTTTTCCCTAGTGTAATTATACAACACAGATGAAAGGATGAGCATTTGGACTGTCAGTTCTATATTCTGGACCAGCCTGGTGACTCAAAGCAGACGGCGCTACCACGCTAAGCACCATCCCAACAACAGTCGAGGGAAGCCTCGAACACTGATTTAACAGTCATTGCATAACGAGGCATTAAAAATTCGGAAACCCCCAACTCTTTCCACGTTGGTCTACACCAGGTGAAAAATTTGCTGAAACTGAACGCACCCCGTCTTAAATGGCCCCCTCCAATCCGGGCATGGGGTGAACACAAAGGCATCTATCTAATACCCTGCACAATAGACACACACCCCACAATTTAAAACCCTGGACGTTCTTTCTCTATCTCTCCACGGAAGCAAAGGAAATGCAAGCTGCTCTTTTCGTTAATGGTCTGTGGTACACGCAAGGTAACAATAAGCCCAACTGTTCCCAGGAAGCAACTATAAAATTGGCTCTGCCACGTCCCTATGCAACCGTCAGATAAAATGCCGACAGCAGATTTCAGCCGGCCCCACGCCTCATGGGGTGGCCAACCTCGGCTCGTCGGCCTCCACGGATCGCCGAGAAGCCCCCAGACACCCACCCCGCGGGGGGTCCAGGTACACGTCTATAAATACTCCCGGGTGAGGAGGACAAGGGAGGAGGGGGGCAGGGCAGGGGGCAGGCCCCGGGCGGGTGCGGGAGGACCCGGGCATCACTGAAATGCATTTTCCCACACTCCCGCTCCCTCGCGTGGAGACTCACTTGCCGATCACCTCGCACAGCTCGTACACATCCTCGAACAGCACGTCGTCGTCGGCCATGGTCCGGAGGGGACAGTGGCCGCAGCGTGGAGGGCTCCGAAAACGGGGGTGGGGGCGCCAAAGAGCTCAGTGCCCGGCCCCTGGCTCGCCTCCTCCCCTCAGGACCCGCGAGCCCTCGGTGCCGAGGACACTCGAGCGGGGCGGCGAGGCCCGGAGACTGCGGCGCCTTCCTCTGCGGGCGACCGCCCCGGCGCGGGCGGCAGGGCCGGGGCGCTGGAGCGAGGGCGGCCCGGGCCCGGCGCCGCCCGCCCGCCCGCTGCTCCTCGCGCTGCTCGGGCCGCGCTGCCCGGCGTGCGGATCCTCGGGGACCGCGCGGCGCCTCGCTCTCCTCTCGTCAGCCCGCGCGGGCCGCGAGGCCGCGACCGCTCCCTCGGTCGAGGCAGGCTCCGGCGCGGCGCGGGGCAGCTCGGGCTACAGGGGGGGCCGCGGCAGGACCATGGAGGGAAGATCGCCGCGGAGGGAGGTGGCGGCGGCAGATCGGCGCTGGGGACCAGGAGGCGGCGGCAGAGACGCTCCCTCCTCCTTCTCCTCCTTCTGCCGCCGCCGCCCGCCCGCCTGGGAGTGGGAGGGGGCTTCGCGGGACTGGCTCTCCGTGCGGGCGGGAGCCGCGGCCGCCGCCTTCAGCTCCTCCTCCGCCGCCTCGGCCGCCGACCAGCTCGCGAGCCCCGAGCACCCTCCTCGCGCACACGAGCCCTCCTCCCACTCCGGCCGCACGGCTTCCAGAACCACAGGCCCCGCCCACTCCAGCCCGTCGGGAGGCGGTGGCCCAGGGAAAGAGCCCGGGCAGAGCGGCGCATGCGCGCGCCGTGGGCCACGTCACGGCAAACCGGCGGGCGCCGGGAATCTAGAAGGGGCGGGGGGCTGAGGCACGCGGGCGGCATCTGCTTAGGCGGGGGCGGGGCGGGGTCGTCACCCCCGCGACCAAGCAGCGGAAGGGGTCGGGGACAAAAGGCCTGCGACCGAACGCACTTCCTTGGCTCTCTGAGGCGAGAGGCTCGGAAGCCCGGCCGCTCCCTCCTTTTGTAACCAAAAGAAGCCTTTCCCAGTTTCTTCTGGGGGAGGAGGCTGGGAAAGGGTCCTAATGAATGGGAAAGCAAGAACAGAGGCGGCGAGGTTGTCACTCCAGATCTCGCTAGGCGGCTGATGCTTTTAGTGCCACTGTCACTCTTTAATGAAAACGAGGGCTGTGGATGAAGTGTTGTCCACCTACAAGAAAAGGACCAAACAAAAACTGTCCAGGAACATGTGCAACAACAAATGGCAATTTACAGAGACAGCTTCTCCCGCATTCTGCCCCAAACTCAAATATCTATCCAGCGCCTACACCCACTAGAGACAGCCTAGAGAGAGGTCAGGAAAGCAGGGTCATACAGAGACTTTAAACCCCTTTGTATATTGCCCCCTCCCAAATTCCCACTACCTACTCTGCTCCTTTTACTCCCTACGAATGTTAGGCATGTCAGGATAACAATGCAACTAGAGGGAGTGTATGGTACAGGGTCAGCCAGGGAGTGAGGTTATGGGTGTTGCCGCTGTGTTAGGTTGTATTCAATATGAAGATTTCTGTTCAACTGAGCATGTGCGGAATGAGCCAACGCCATCAGACAGGTATATGCCTCAGTTGAGGACCAATAAAAAGAAAAAAAAAGTCTTTGTTCCTCTGCACAGCAGAAGTGCCCGATTAGTTCATAAATCAGCTTCTAGAAATCATCTGGTAAAATTCTCAGTACGGTAATTAAAACAAAAAGAAGAAGAAGAGAAAGAAAGAAAGAAAAAAGATAGTATTTACCAAAGAGTGTGAGGGGGTGGAGACAGCCTATTTTCTCTTCAGAAACGTTTTCTGCAAACCCTTGACCACTCCGTTAAGAGGCTGAGAGATTTGCCAGTGTTAAAGATTTGAGTACTAGACCTTTTTTAAACAATGCAAATCAGAGGAAAAATGTAATTGTATGCGAAGGTTTTCCTCCTTTTCCAAAGAGCTTGTGCATTCTCTAGAGAAGGGAGCTTTAGAGCCCGGGAAACATTGCCTCCATTGAGGGGTCCCACAGCTCCAAGTCACTCACTCCAAATTGGCATGTCCACCTGGTACCTAGTGAATAAGGTGTTACTCCATTCTGCCTTGAAGTGTACAGCGACCCTCACCTTGTCAGCTTCGTTTCCTTTCCCCAGTCTAAGTCAGAGCTATGCCAAGTCTTGTCGACTTCATTTTGGGGTTTGTTATCTTCCACAGGAACTTATGCTCAGAGGTTGAAAACGACAATGACAAAATAAAACAAAAGAAGTGAAGTTGAATAAAAAAGACGACTACAGAGATAGGTTTGCATTCTGCTCATGGAATCACAGCGGGTTTCGATTTGGAAAGAGCCTTAGAGGTCGGCCAGTCCCACTCTGTCATTTACAGATGTGGGGTATGCCACCATGATTGGCCTAATTTGGCATTCCCTGATCTCTGGCCTTGAATGGTGCAAGGTCTTCCAGTCAGCTCAAAGCTCAGGACTTTCCCCTCACTATGGATGTGAAACACTCTGTTTCTCTCCACCCCATCCCCCAACCATCACACTGGCCTTGAATAAAGAGTATGCACCCTCATTCGCTGCCAGCAGACATCTTGTGCCCATGAGGGTAGTCAGACCTAAGATGAAGGTGGAACTGAGGGGCAGCAGGGTGGAGATGTCCTCATTGACGTTATCAATCTCTTGTTTAGCCAACTCTCTACACTTTCCCATCATATAAGGCAATGAATTTCCTTACTGTTTAAGCCATTTTGAGTTGGGTTTTCTGTTACTTTCAAAGGAAGCATCCGACTAATGGTACAACAGATGAAAAAAGAAGTTCAGAGACAAATATATGTCCATGGTCACGTATTTAGCTCAGCATCTAATCTGAACCTAGATCTCCCAGCTTCCAGTGTGGTATTTAGTGATACTGAAGTCCTCTGTAATTCAAATCCCTCAGAACTTGTACCATGCTTTGTGGCTAGAAGTAGCCCCTCTGTTTTCTACAATTAAAATGACCAAGGCTTTTAAATGAAGTTAATTCTTCTCTGGGTTTCTTCCAAAAACCCAATACTCTTCAAATACTCACACGTATAAATGATTAGGTGTCTATAATTTAGTTCCATTTTAGTTTCCATGAAGAAAATGTTAACTAGGCGCATCAGTTAGATTGTGTTCAGATGTTAATAATTGAATACTCAATAACAGTGGTATAAACAAATGGGAGGACTTACCTTTCTCCTATAGCAAGGAGTCTGGAGGTGGGTGGCTACTAACGTTGTATCAGCTACTCTATGGTGTCATCAGTGACCTAGGTTCTTTCCACTCTGCCATCCTTGACATGTTAGCTTCTCATTCTCAGGCATGTTGCTTCATCATTACAAGATGACTGCCACAATTTCCAACATCAAAGTGCGTTCAGAGGCAGGAATCAGGAAGGCGGCAAGGGTAGGCAAGGTCGTTTTGCTCCCTCTCCCATCTCTTGTTAGGGAAAGAAAATATCCTTTCCCCATCTCACTGGCCAGAACAGTCACATGGCAACTTTCACCTGCAAGAGAAGCTGGGGATGCAGAGATCTGACTTTTCCTGCCTATTCTTTGAAGGTGGGCAAGGGAGAAGTAGGTGGGGAATTGGCTCTGGCAGCCAATCAGCAGTATTTCCCATACTATGAAAATCATCAATGAATTAATTCTCTATCGTCATTATGATGTAGATATACGCTGAGTATATAACTGGTAAGTCTTTTTAAAAATTCAGAAACATTAAAAGACCCACGAGGATGGGGTTGCTGTTAAACCAATTTGATTCTCAGATGTCAGTGAAAATCTTCAGTGACCTTGAGGTATTGGACTTCACAGTTGCATTAGACATTCTCAGGTTGTTAGGCTCCCACATAATTTCAACATGACACCGATAGACAAGGGGAAAACACGCTCTACAGAAATATTAGCATGAGTACAACACAGAGGTTGGCGTGGCACGGGGTTAATTTACGCAATTCAGGGCGCAGCCTCACTCTGTAGCTATGATTGTTTAAGCATATAAATTATTACTGAATTCATAAATAAAATTAAGAATGGCATGATCTTAAACTGGAATAAAGTTATTTCCTGATGGTGTAAGCATGGTGCTCTAAGCTCAAATGAAAGCCACCATCAGTCTCTCCAGAAAAAGCTGCATACACTAAACTTATACTCCAATATCATGTGGCAAATCGTTTATCTTATATTCATTCAACGAATGTCTGTGGTAATCACTGAGGCTAGAGCTACAAATGAGGCAGACATGGTCTCTGCCCACTCCAAGTTTTGTTCTGGAAGAAAACAAGTAACAGACAGGTAATTACAATTAAGAGTGATGGTCGTTAGGGTGTGGGAAGTATGGGGAGCAACTAGCCAAGGGACCTATGGGTCACTGAAGGCCCAGCTGAAGAAATGTTTAAATGAAGACTGAAGAAAGAATAGAAATTCACCAGATGAAAGGAGTGGGGCCAGTTGATTCTAGGTAGAGAGGACAGCATTTATGAAGTCCTGGAAATGAGCAAGTATATGCTATTTTGGAAGAAGAACATGATCTTTTGGAGAAGTAGGTCGTGGCTGGATCACAGAGTGTAGAAAGAAAGCAGTCGGGGTGGGGGTGGGGGGTTAGAGAAATAAGCAGCGGCCAGAGAGCAGAATGCATCAAATGCCATTTTTAAGAGTTGACCCATTAAAAGACTGCATATTTCAGTGGCACTAGAGTCTTATGTGTAAACTAAGACCCTCAAAGCCTCATGCACGAACAGAAAACTGTAGCACTTTTAGGTAACTCTTCCTTTCCCACTTGCTGCACCCTGTCCTCTTGCTTAGCTACTTTTAAAATGGAGATGCTTCCCGTATAAATATAAAATTCCTTAAACTGTCGGAGCCGACACTGTATGTGCACCGCTCAAATCCTCACTGATGGCTTTAACCATTCCTGGGTGCCCCTCCCCCAGCATCAGCATGTTTTTGCTTCCAAAGCCCACACCTGTGGCTTCAGAGGACTTCCCCCATGGAAGTGCCCGGGAGTTTAGGTCTCCCCCATCTGGCTGTTAGTTCAGGAATGTAAAGTCCAGCTACCTTCACAGGGGTCGGGGGTGGGGGGACAACTCTGAGGAGTTACTTATAGCCTGAGCTCCCCTGTGGGGTTAAGCTGCAGCTACTGTCCACAGGACTTTGTCTGCTTCCCACCCCTTCCCTTTCCTACTCCTCTCATTCCCTAACAGGTTTCTCCTGGGAGTACTTTCTTAATAAATCATTTGCTCATAAATGCCCTTATCAGGATCTGCTTTGAGGAAAACCCAACCTAAAGCAACAGTGTTTTTCCTAGTGACAACTGCATCTGAATCATCTGGGAGCTTATGAAAAATGTTAAAAATCTTGATTCCTGGGCCCTACCCAAGGCCTCCTGAATCTCAGTCTCCTGGAGCATGTCACAGGGATCGGTATTTTTATAAGTTCCCCAAGTGAGTCTTGAATATCTAAAAATTAAGAACCACTGCCCTAATGCTGGCCGCTGAATATGCTCTCTGAAAAAACAAAAACAGAAACAAAAAAGGACCTAGGGCTGACTTCTTCACTAGGGTGGAGAAACCATAAGAAATGCAAAACACTTCAGGGAGTAGAAGAGGATCTGAATACAAATGTGTTTCCTTCTGTAAA